ATAATTACTATTATTTTCATTTAAGTTGCACAAACGTTCTACATGTATTAAGGCAAGGCGTTGATGAAACTTAAACTTAACAGATCTTCGAGTCTTGTTACATGATTTTCAATTTCTGAAAATGTAAAAGATAACAAATATCGTACCATAAATCAAGTTTAGTGTGTGCTTCGTGACACACTGGGATGCAGACAAGATTTGCCAAACAGCTTTGCAAACTGTACAATACAGTCATACCTTGTTATACCGTCTCTGATTACACCACCAATCTCGTTTACCATTGATTACCAACAGGTTTTGCCAATGCACACAACAAAGGAAGCTGAGGATGGCAATATCCCCCCAACGCTAGAAAATACATTTTAAAATGGGTGACACATAGAGAAAATATCAATACAATTATTATAACAAACATGCGTCCCTAATTCTTTTGTCCAGTATTTTTTTTCTTTTGAATATAATTAATACATTGTATATCCTTCTGAGATTTGTCTCTCTGGCAATTTTTTCCACAGATAAAAATGGCATCCTTTCACCCAAAACTGATGACAATGCGTCTAATTTTGGTCTGTTTCCTAGTCGGGTAAGTAAAACTTATTCTTTTTAGAGAACTTCGTTGCATATTTTTATTATTCATTGTATAATTACAAATCAATCAATGACTTAATTAGGTCTCATGATGGAATAACGAAATGATTAATAATTAGCTTAATTATAGCATTTAACTATTGCCAGTTACTGATTAATGTTTACCAGTCTACTAGTTAGGCAGGATTGTAAAAAAAAGGCCTTTATATAAAAACATAATACATGTAATAATAATAATAATTAATAATAAATAGCATTTGTATAGCGCATATATTCCCACTCGAAAGCAATTAGGGTTCTAAAAAGAAATAGCCTACACATTCATTCATCACACTATAAATCCTACGTACTGCTGCTGCTGCTGCTGCTGCTACTGCTACTACTACTACTACTACTACTACTACTACTACTACTACTGCTACT